GTCATATGAGTGAAATATTCTCAAGCACGACGGTAAACCCAATTTCACCTCACCTCACCTCACCTCACCTCACCTCACCTAACCTATTATATCTTACGTTTAATCTGTTGTATATGAACTATATGTTACCATCCTTAACATTTTCTGGTTTGTTTCTCAAGTATTCCCAGGTACTATTGCCAATAATAGAGCACTTCATTTCTGATTCAACCTTACTGCGCTGTTCTGAATATGTATGTGTATACTGTGACTGCCTGGTAACTGAGTATCGTGTGCCGGGAGTGCTCTATTCAGTGATACGTAAAATGCTGTACCTTCATGTTTATCATGACTAATGTAAATGTATTGTTATTTCAGAGGTACAGATAAGCTGCGTATATGCGTAAAATTACGCCAATATTTATGTGAAAACCCAATTTCTATTGCGTACAAGTACACTTGAATTTTTGTAAATACTCAATAACTTTGATCTTACAAGCGTACCCACAAAAATGTCAAATGTTAGCTTGCAGACCGGTGGAAAGAAGAAATAACTGACGTATATTGATAGGTTCTATTTCAAATCATGAACTTGGCAACTTGCAGTCTTTATTATCGTTTCTTATATTACAGATCTAAATATAAGTAACAAACACGTAAATCAGCATTTAACTTTATATTTTCACAATTAATGGAAAATGAGATGAACACAAGCGAGTGCATAACTCAATGACCCAAAAAGTTATCTGTAGCTCTGTAATACTTTTACAACATTGCTGTTTCTGATATATATGCACTTTTATACACGATTGTAACGTAAAACCAGATTGCACTCATGTTTTAGAGAAGGTTATTCATGTCATGCTGCTGATGTAGGGCGGTGTTGTCTCAGATACTCCAACAGACCAAGCCTGTGAACAATTACTTAGATTTAATAGAGTGAGTTGACTGTTGTAAATAAATCTTCAAATTAAAGATAAGGTCAGAGAGTCTTTTTTTCGATTGAACTGATAGCCCGATTCGTGTATCATAATTTACACCCACCGGTTTTGCTTTTGTAGAGATTATGCCTTCAGATGCTGGCGATCTATAGCTGTTTTTTATATTTTATTGACTTCTTTAATTACACTGTTTTAGTTTTACATGCTAGTTTATGTTTATATCTGTGATACTCTAGTATTTTTACTGTCCATCGTCGACAGGTTTAACTCTTCACATTGTTTTCATTTTTGTATTGTATAAATTGTTTTCGTCACGATATGGCTGAAATATTGCCGATGTGACGTTAAATATTAACTCACTAACATGTAGAGATGAGGTCGGCATAATCTTCACTTGCCAGGGATTAATTTGATGAACCCCAGGGTTGGAGCCCTTCAAAAACACTCTATGCCCATGTCATGCGCAACTGGATGTCCGTTATCGGTGTACAACCATTCCGAATAGATATTTTCATTCAAAATAAAAACACAATGAAACCCGATTACTAGCAGTGCTCCCAAAAGGTTTGGTTACGTGGGGAGGGAGGCCCGTGAGACAGCATGTCAATTTTTTAGAGTCAGTCAGGATAGCAGATGGATCAGTGTGAAGGCATGTGGTCTACATGACACTTACAGCACGCCTTGCTCTTTCTCTTCTTAAAGCGAATTTGTTCATCTGACCTGGAAAGCAATCATGTCGTCTTCCTCAAACTTCGCGCTGACGGTCCAGTAAGACAGGGATCTGCCGACTCAGCTTATACGATCCTTTGTGGATGTCTGAAGGAAGACTCTCAAGGGAATCAGAACGTTCGGAATACTTACTTCTGGACCATAATACCTGGTGACATCTTGCTGAACCACTAATATACTAGTGTCTGCATTAGTTTTATACCTTAGCTCTAGATTTCCAGTTGCATCAAAGCTGATTGGATTCAAACATCTCTCCAGCCGTATTTGGTTTTATTAATTCAATATTATTTGTAGAATTTGTATATATGCAATGGTCTTTTACTCTAGCATGCCCATGTCGTTGTGTCATTCCACTGTCCACTGCTGGGGGTTGGCCTGTTTGACTTTCACTCGTTGATATTGAGGACATATTTTGCTTTTCAAATTTTAACACATTTAGACTGCCTGTTGCTCCCATTTGCCACTGTTTGTCTCATAGTCCCTCAGCCTAGTTGTTTGCTTACGTGTTGACAGTTTTTGACAATTATTGCACATGGTTAACCGTGGAAAGAGTTGATAGTGGATTTGTTTGTGTTCGATCTATTTCGAAGTTATAAATAATAAACACGATTTTTGCGCCATGTGCTTGCTGTTGGGCCAGTCAATAATGTTTATGTCGTCCTCGAGGCATTACATCGACAGACCTAATAAATGTTTATAAATCAATATAAAACGAAAGATAGCAACGACACTGTTACAGTCTTTAGTTTGTTTTGAACGATACTTTAGAGAAAACAACTTCTTTATTTAATTATGATGCGACGTTTCGGTATGGATTCTTATACCGTAGTCAAGCAACTTCATCAACTTCTAAATTGCCAATCAAACAGACATTATCATAATCATTGGTAATAGTCATCGGTACCTAAACGTTTTGCCAACAAGACCTCGCTATAAATAACTTATACTGTATTTAGAAGTATCTGCGCATCAAAGGAAACCATGGCGACGCGATGTTTGTTTAAATGATGTTATTGGAACAAAAATTACGACACACTTTCAGTTTTTAATGAAATAACTGCAGCCACCTCACTGAGTCATCTGTTGAAACCTTTCTGTACACTATATTTATTGTGTATATATATATGATGCTTTTAGTATCATACTTCGGGACAACACAACACTTCACGTGGAGTAGAACAAACTGTATTTCTTAAATTTAGCCCCATTTAGAATAATCTCTTTACAATATTACTGTAAATTAAGCTGTTGAATGTTACAGCATGTGTACCCATGGTGTATGACATTGATGTGCATTTTCAGAATGTGATGCATCATTAAACTATTTTCTTGTAATTCTTTCTATTTTACATGTGTTACAAGAAGTCTCAAGCAGTTACGTTTAAGGAGCAAATCTCAGATGTTAATACGGTTCAGCGTTGAACGTCTTCAGGAGTTTACGGCTGTAAATACCCGTCTCCTCGGGATGATTGCCTTAATGTTTGATTGTCTGTTTGTTTAAGCTTTGTGGACATATCACAGTCAGGGTCTCCGCGGGATGATGGCAGTCAAAATATCATTAATAAATTTCTGTATTTCAACATTATGAAATATTTAGAGGCTTCAATTCCATAGTATTCTGCTTAGACACAGAGTTGTGGTAACTGCCTGTTTTCCTAACAAGTGCAACTTTGGTAAACAAAGGAAATATGCTGTACTTCGTGCTACAACAAGTTCAGTTAAATCAGTGTCTTCATAAATCTACTACTGTACGTCAGTCATATTTATTAGGTAGACTAAGTCAACTATATTACTGAAACTATATTACTATTTGTCGACGTCTTTCATTAACTAGATTAGGGCAATCATAGGAATGAACTCGTCTTTGATTTCGGGTGGTCAGACTCGCTGACTGGGTTGACACATGTCATCGTATGCCAATTGCGTAGATATGACCATGCTGTTGTTCACTGGATTGTCTTGTCCAGACTCGATTATTTACAGACCGCCGCCATATAGCTGGAATATTGCTGAGTGCGGCGTTAAACTAAACTCGCACACTCCCACTCGTCTGTATTTTATCAACTAGACTTTAGTCTATCCTAAGACCGAAATGGTCGTTGGTCATGTGAAACTGGTTGCAATTCTCAAATCTTAGTGCGGCGAACATGAAATCCTCGTATCCTAAGAAGTAAACACCGTCAGAAAGTTGACATGGTAATTCTGCATTCCGTGCGATACTGTCAGGCTCGGCTTCCACAATCACAGACATTTCTACTAAAGTACTAACGGAAATGGAAATAAAATGGTTTTTGGCGTATATTTGTTTATTACTTCATTAAAATAAGTAGTTTTAACAAATATTAGCATGACTATGTTTTTCCCAACTAGGCCTTTTAATTTGGTCCTCTAATCATCATCTAAAATACCATTTTACGGGTAAAAATAACAAAAAATTGCATATTATCAACAAATTTAGAAACATGTTTTAACTTGCGTCACAATCAACAATGGGTGGCAACAACAACCTGCAGCATTGTTTAGACGGGAAGATGTATTTGCACGTGCGTTGCCATAGCGATTGTGCAATTGACAATCAAAGCGATGAATGAATTCGTAAGATTAGTAAACTTTCAACAAGGGTACAGCCATGAAAAATGTACTGAGAAAATACCCAAATCATTTATTTTGCATATTAATTAGGATATAAGAAATAAAGGATGAATGGTATATTACGTTTTTTCATAAATATATTATGTAGGCGAACCTATGGAGAGTAAAAGAGTTGCATCAGAAACGTACATTTTGACTTGGATGAAATATCGAGGGGTAAAAATGACACGAATTGCCGTCCTGTAAACTCAGCTATTTCGTATTATTTTACAAAAAAGTGTTAAAAACAAAAGTTGGGAAAAACGATAGTCATAGAATATTTGACAATCAATGTATAGTTGTGTTCAAAACTGCGAAATAAACGAAAAATTTATTTCTATTCCGTGAGTACTAGATATCATTGTTCCAAGCAGTAAAACTAGCAGTACACTAAGGAGGACTGGTCATGGTCTGCCATGTGTTCGGTCACTTACATGGTCCATTGTTTCGTATTGTATGGAGAGATACTCATACAATACACTTGTCCATGTACACGTGACATGTTGCCATTGCAGTCTGCACGCACAGATGTTATGGAAGTTTTCAAAATCCCAAATCGCGACATCACCCGTTCATACAGTCTAATCTCTGAATGAAGAATATATTCTAATAAGACAAAATAAAATAGGACAAAACCAATTGTACCTAACAAATTCAAGTCTACTGGAATTATCTGATACTTTCGTTTGGATACTTATAGTGATTTTTAAGTTAGAATGATACATCATGAACGGATTCTGAATTAGCTGCAAACGAAATCAACAAACATGTTTACCATGGACTTGACAATACTACTGGAAGGATGGACATCTCTGCTCTCTTGGGCAACGGTCATGTCCCAAACATCCAGAAACCACACTTTCTGGTAGAGCTCCTTAAATTCTTCCTTCAGAATATGATTATATATAGGACCCCACATGCCGCCCAGTGTCTTCCTGTCCCTGAAGCTGAAGTAATGAGGCCCTTTGATGGCAACGGAGACGTTTGGCGACCTCGCCAAGAGTTCCTTCAGTGATCTCACAGTTCTCCTGATGTTCGTCCTGAACACCTTGGGATGGTGGTATTGGAAGTGAGCATAGAGGTGGATCAAAAGGATATCGTTAGATCCTGGTGGAATTCCATCTAATGACACAAACACTGGGCGGGTTTCACCTCTGTTGATTTCGCCGAAATATATGGGAAGGCCATGTCGGGTCCAGATGAGCTCATAGTTGTAAGCTTTCTTATACGCTGCTGACCGCCTGTGCCATTTGGTCGCATTCCATATCTGAGTGGAAAATTTGAGTTCGAGTTTGTTGAAGAGGTGAAAGAACCATTGGCGAACTGTTGAATCCCCAAACATGGTGATTGTTCGATTCTGGAAGCATTGGTTGTAGTTGGAGAGTCGTGTCGGTTGGCATGGTAACAGTTTCCATGTATTATTAAAAAAATATCCAACTGGCGATGGGGTTGTCCATGTGAGCCTTTTAGCATCCCTTGTACAAGCGTTTGTTGGAATTGTCTGTGTTGGCGCTAGAGGAAAGAGGGAATGAAAACAGATGTTAGAAATGTTAATTTTTTAAAACTAGTAAGTAAGTATAAATTGGTTGTATAAATATTTCTTACGTTTACCTATTAATGATTTACAATTTTTACAATTGATATTCCGTTTTGTTGTCGTATGACATTAAACATAAATGGCATGAGTTTTCACCGGGTTTTCAATATTCCAGAAAATATGGCGGGGAAATACTGGAACCTGGGTTATCGAAGTGACGAGGTAGAGATTAAAGCATTTGGATACCGTGGCATCACAATGTGTGAACAAATTTCTGATTTATTATCTCCACATCAAGACATATCCCCCAACCAGTAGAAGTATCTATGTGGACTTGAAAAGTGAGTATAACAAATAACGTCAGTATCATACGTCAATCGTGTCAAAGGTCGTGCACAATGTTGCAAAGGTCACTTTTTAATGTATTTTTATTATTTTAGGCCTCCAAAACGTGTTGTGGTTCCGATTACCCGACTGACCCTTGAATTCTGGTGCCGACCCTATTTTTTTTAAGGCAGTATGAATAAAATAAGCTTTTCGATACCATTGTTTTTTCCCAGCACCGGTGGACATCGGTCATTCTCATTGAGAAAGTCGACGTGATGGCCGCAATAAACAATTACACGCTGATAAATGTGTTATTAGTTTGTACTTTACTTCTAAATGTTAAAAAGAAAAGAAAATCCTACCTACCTTAATTTTAAAGAGGTGTAATCGGAACCACAACAATTTTTTTATTTGGCCTCAGATCCAATTTTAACTGGCATGATGACCTAAATGGACACTTGGCGAGTACGCCCTTAATCTCACTTCTCTGGACGCTAATGCCATTCTCGATAAAGAACAGCCTGCAGTGTGCAGTCTTTTAAAGCACTTCCTTGGCGAATGTCGTCATTCTACTATGTACACGACGCTCAAGGATCAGTGTCGAGATGGTTTAGTCTCCTTTGTCATATCGAAGTTGCCGTTCCTCGTTACAACTTTCGGATTAACCAAATTTCAGATTAACAGGTGAAATCAGTGTTTTCAGATTAACATGAGCGGGCTAACGACTGCACCTATACTTCCTTTAAATAATGAAACTGAATTCCTACCTTGTCGCACTGTAATGTTAATTGAATCTGTGTGCACTCTGTGATAGATGGCCCTGAATAAAATAATGTTGCGGTCTGTTAGTAGATATCTACAAAGTACATAGTGAGAATCCTACAATGTAATGTCACACATGTACATGAACTTAAAAACGGTTCCTTTCCTTTAAATGAACAATTTGAAATGACTAAGTGAGGGGTGATCTGATAAACACCTTTCGTTCATTTGCCATCAGGTTGATTTTCTTAGTTCAGTAGGTGATTGAGATTTTATGCAACGTGTAACAAAGCATCTGCTCTGACAATGTTTTAAAGTGGACATAAGAACACTATGTTAAAGGTAAAAAATGGACATGTGTTGGGGAAAATGGCGGCCATATTCCATTTTTGCTGCGTAAGGGACCTTACATAATAAATGGCTTGTGTGTGTGTGTGTGTGTGTGTGTGTTTGTGTGTTGATGATTTTTATGCAGAGGCATGTACAAAGTAAGTGACCCCCCTGCATGTCATGTACAAAATCAATGACCCTCTCCCTAGTTCATGTGTACAAAATGTATGACCACCCTGCCTCCCCAGAACAAAATGGGTGACCCCCTTAAAATCATCATTATCATCACCATCACCACACACACGCACGCACGCACACGCACGCGCACACACACACACACACACACACACACACACACACACTAGCCATTAATTTGTCCTTCGCCGACAGGTTTTTAAAAAATGTATAAATATATTTATTGTTAGTACATAACTATTTGTCGTCACGCTGGCTGAAATATTGCTGATGTGACGTAAAGTCTTAACTCACTCACTCACTCATAAATTATGAACGGTCCATAAGGCTTTTTTCTATTCTTATTTACAACATAGCGGCCATCGATGTTCTTGTTTATTTAGGGATAATGCGGGATTCATCTGCATGTCATAATCACTAGAGCATTTAATAAATAACATATGAATCAATTTGCTTACCTCAGATAATACTGCGCGACTGTCTTGTTTTGATATAAAGTATTTGAATTAAATGATTCATGTGACAACTTCGTCCAGTCACTACACTGAACCCGACTGCTCTTCGGTTTTCCACAGAACCAAGGAATTCCGTAATTTTCAGCTGTGAAATTACAAACATTTTTATTGCCATGATCGACCGATGTCGAACCCACAGTTACCTCCCTTATTTTTTTAGCTTCGAAAATACAAAGAATGTTTTTCGATGCACCATGTCTTGCGAAATACTGGTACATCATAGCATAACCTTCGCTTGAGCAGCTGACAGCATATTTGATAACTGCACTTCCTGTCCATAACGCCCGGAGAATGCCGGTATAGCTTCCGTTCACGTGATCAATCACACTTCCCGATGAAGATGCTCCTTTCTTAGGGTCGGACATCCATATTAGAACAAGATCTCCTCCTCTTGTCAGTGGCTTGTTGTAACGGTCACGGAGAACAAGGTGTACATGGATAACATCTCCTGTTTGAAAGTCGTTTGTGGTGTTCACAAGGTACATCTTTGAGTGCTCGCTTGATGGAAGGTTGTCTTTGTCGTAGACGACGCCATTAATGTCCCTTTTTGTGGGTGAGATGTCGTCTGAACGTCGTATTTGAAAAGCGTAGAAGATTTGTGTACCTTTATTAAAATGTCTGAAAAAATTACGTGAGTTTAATACAATGATACAATAACAACACAGTTATGCTGGTAGATTGTCAGCCTACCTGGATCGATACTACTGATTATTTCGTACAGTTAACAGTAATGTTGTTTTCATCACTTAGATATCTAAAGTAAACAATTTCAACAATTTCTACATTGAGGTACTTCTCGGACAGTTGATGAAACATGGAATTTATCGGATATATTACCTCTATATCGTTAAGTATCTACATCAGACTGAGTCATGTATATAATTATCCAAGCGGCTACAAACCTCTCGCAACTCACTAACTCACTCACTCACTCATTCAGATACTTACATCACTGAGCGTTCATGTGTAGACATATAGATAACCACCAGCACTGCAACAGAGACGAATACAATCTGCAGCGTTGTCTTCCTTCCACGGTGAAGTGTAGCTATACAGGCCATGTCTCTCCAAGAAGCTTCTGAAACATATTGGAATTCATGTTATATTCACCTTCACTTCAGACCATGTCCTTGCTAAAGCACTGTGTGTCAGCTGGGCGAGAGGAGGACCAGTCGTGCAGTATCGTGGCCGTTTATATCTCGGGTCGTGATGCACCAACATCGATCAGTGCAAATTTGGGGTTCGAACCCTCATCTGATTCTTACACGACTACTGCTGCAACACGTTGTGCCAAGCTGTCGCTAACACCGGCTTCGAGTGACTAAAGAAACACTTCTCTCTTCCCTGCGTCTCTAACCTTCTCCATATCTCGGGGCGGTGGGGTAGCCTAGTGGTTAAAGCGTTCGCTCGTCATGCTGAAGGCCCGAGTTCGATTCCCCACATGGGTACAATGTGTGAAGCCTATTTCGTGTGTCCCCCGCAGTGATATTGCTAGAATAGTGCTAAAAGCGGCGTAAAATCCCACTCACTTACGGAAAGATGTAAAATATAAATATCACATTTGCAACTTATTTCTTCAAAATATACTTACAAAGAGATCGGAACAGCATAAAGTTCACGCAGATATATTCAAGATGAACACAACATTCCATATTTCCCGAGCCAGGTTCACACTTTCGTCACAAGCCCAGTATGGCCAGAAAAGTCTTTGTCTGTGAAGCACATGTACAACGGATTTACTTGTAGGTTTGGGTGGGAACTTTTAAAAAATCCTTCTGGTTCTCAGTGCTTTCAGTGATCAGTAGATATTGTAAACGTTGAATAGGGGATTCAGTGTCCTAGAAAACCTTCAGCTGGTTCACAGTGGAAGGAGCTCCATGGATTCAAACGCGCAGCACGCTGTGTCAGTTTAAAACTACAATGAGAGCGTCCAGGAAAGTGTGCATATGCGAACCACTTGTCCCTATTACTAATTCAATACGCTCTGAGCTGCGTTCTTCGATCACCCCGGTGGATCAACAAACATATTATCGCAGGGACGAATCTTATCATGCACACTTTAAATATTCATTTCATTTATCTACAGATGTTGTTGGTGTGCAGACCGGGGGTGGGGGATGGGGGGTGGGCAGTACTCAAATATGTATGAGCTTTATCAGATGACGTCAGCTAACCGAAAGCTACATACACAAAACCATGGGTAACTCTGATCGTAGAAAGTTATTGAAAACTAATATAACTGTATAGCCTTCATAGGGTCCCTCCATTAGGTACCGTTACAATTACTCAAAGTAAGATAAAAACTATGTTCTGTGTCACTGAAGTAAAACAAACTCGTTCAGAAACCCTTTGCTTATATTTGGTTGCCAAACAGCCCAAAGTAGCTGGGAGGACAGTGTTGTTCTTGAAATTGCTTTGGAACGTTTGGTCACACTTGACTCTACTAACTGGGAACTAACCGACCGTCCCTGACTTTGAAATTTCAAATAAGGCAATTGCTTCTATGTCACTACTGTAACAATTTCGTTCAACAATCAGTTTCCCTTAATGCTGAATACATTAAAATCCCAGGAGACACCAATTTTATGTTTGCAGTTCAATTTTGCTGTACTAACACGATCTTATTCTAGTTGTTCAAAAAAGGATCGTTTTACAGAACGTGGACGTATCCAAACCAGACACCATACACCTAATCATAGTGCTATCAAACAAGACACCATACACCTAATCATAGTGCTATCAAACAAGACACCATACACCTAATCATAGTGCTATCAAACCAGACACCATACACCTAATCATAGTGCTATCAAACCAGACACCATACACCTAATCATAGTGCTATCAAACCAGACACCATACACCTAATCATAGTGCTATCAAACCAGACACCCATACACCTAATCATAGTGCTATCAAACCAGACACCATACACCTAATCATAGTGCATACACCTAATCATAGTGCTATCAAACCAGACACCATACACCTAATCATAGTGCTATCAAACCAGACACCATACACCTAATCATAGTGCTATCAAACCAGACACCATACACCTAATCATAGTGCTATCAAACCAGACACCATACACCTAATCATAGTGCTATCAAACCAGACACCATACACCTAATCATAGTGCTATCAAACCAGACACCATACACCTAATCATAGTGCTATCAAACCAGACACCATACACCTAATCATAGTGCTATCAAACTGTTGGACATATAATCAAAGATGAATATTGTAGTCAATTACAGATTTGATAGTTATTCAAATATGGCTCAAATTATCGTGAACAATTAACAGACTACTATGGATGGAGTTTGTTGAATGCTTGTCCGGGTGGGTCAAACCAGTGCGTTAAGTTGAAACAGGAAACAAATTTAGAATAAACCCATTTCTGTCCCAGCCTGCTGTTATCCAAGCTGCATTCCTTGATCCGCGTGATGAACGAAGTTCAAGGACAATTTATTTAAAATAATTCATCGGATTTTTTCTGAACAAAAAACAATTTGTGACATGCTGGACTTTCTCATTTGTCACACCTATCCGGGGGATACATTTATGCAAGAAGAAGGTATCCCTATGAAGACCAATCGTGCACCCCTCCTTGCGCAAGTTTAATGCTTTCAAATAGGGATGTCTGCGCAGATTGCAAAAACTAGACAAATATGTATGAGCCAAGATGTTAACTTAAACGTTAGGTATTTCGATGGTTTGATATCGTTTGATAATGGTCAAATAGAGAAATCATTCAATCCATCAGTATTGCAAATTCCGAGGAAGTAGAAACCTATGGCATGAAAACAACCAGTTTTCCGCTTCTGAAAATAAATTCACGAAACGGGCAAAATTATTTTAATGTTATTCAAATACTTAATTGTTTTCAATTTCAGAATCAAAGACAATTAATATTTAAATAGAAATACAACATGGGGACAAGGCAATAAGCTATATCATAAAAAGACCATTAATAGTGAGTGAGTGAGTGAGCGTATTTTGACTTTGTTTAGGGTACATTTCTGTATACAGAAACGTACCTGGGGTACACATCTGTAGTACCCGTGCCGACAACGACCAAATAAGCGTTATTAATTGCGGATGTAGCCTTACTGTGGCACACTGCTGATCAAGGCCACAGCGAATTCGAGATTCGAAAGCACAAGCAGCGATTCCCGGTAGTACTAATCTCTTCCCGTGAATTGTCACCTTAGACACCTGGGGTATCCTGTCAGGATACGGTACAAGACTAAGGTGACAATATTATGTGAACAAAGATTGATCGAGGGTCTAAACGCATAGAAAAAACCCAGTACGAGTTCACATTGTAACCTCATCAGTGCAGCTAGGGCCATGTTGCATGTCGAGAAACAAACATCACAGAAGCTGAGAATAGAAAGACGGATGAGGAGTCCACAGTGCAGAGAGTTCGCCTCTAACTAAATATAGATTGTTACCATACAGTTCCTGTGCTTAATACATACTGTGTACCATACAGTGCCGTGTTGCAGGGCGCTGTTGATCTTGTAATCAGTTAATTAGTTCCACGTTTGTCTTGGGATAAGCCTAAAGTCTAAATAATGCAGGACTGAGGTATGCGTTTCAATGCGCGTCTGTTGAATTATTCACTGGAACGAGCTAATCATGCACCTCGCATCTCTTGATCACCGATAGTAAATACGTCATTGGTTGTGTACATCATCTGTGTATTTCCAAATGACCAAGCTGTCGATGGAGTGGAAACTGGGAAACAAACGCTCAATTATACCAGGTCTACAGCGGCGTGTCCGAGCAGATCAGAACATGCTAAGTTATCCACGTAGACAAATGTAAGATGAGTTATGAATATATTTTATTGATATGAAAAGATATTCAAGATTCAAGTTTCAAGTGTTTATTTAAGTATTAGAGGCCACCGGCCCAAAGTACATGGGTACATATGGTACAAATACAACATAAATAGTGAAAAAGAATGCAAGAGAACATTTCAAACAGCTTTAAGCAGCACATGGAAAATAATCTATTTTATGAATGCTTATATTATAGTTAAACAAAAATATCGAAATCCTGACAAGTACAGAAGCATCCAAATACAACAGAACACTATTGCAATGGACTTGTCTACAAAACAAATGATTAATTGCAGAACATGAGAAATTAATAAGGACAATCGCAAGCACCACATGTTCGCATTGATCTTGACGGCATGTGTTTAATGGAAAGACCAGTGAGCGAAAGCATGAATGCCGAATCCCGGGGCACGTAAAACAAATAAATTCAATGACCAACCACCCATTCCTTCTGATTACTTTCCATAGAACCTACAGTCAAATCTGATGGGGAGCCTTGTTCGGACGTCCCATGGAGGACCCAGGTTCGGTTCCCTGCATGTGTAGAGGTATCAATTTCTGGTGTCCGCCGATGTGATATTGCTGGAGTAAAATCGGATAATCACTCACCCCAAAAGACGACGTGCCTGTAAATATACCATTGAATTAGGTGCAGGATCGCCTTGCGATGAAAGTTAATATGTCTTTGAATGTACCATTGAATGAAGTGCAGGATCGCCTTGTGATGAAAGTTAATATGTCTTTGAATGTACCATTGAATGAAGTGCAGGATCGCCTTGTGATGAAAGTTAATATGTCTTTGAATGTACCATTGAATGAAGTGCAGGATCGCCTTGTGATGAAAGTTAATATGTCTTTGAATGTACCATTGAATGAAGTGCAGGATCGCCTTGTGATGAAAGTTAATATGTCTTTGAATGTACCATTGAATGAAGTGCAGGATCGCCTTGTGATGAAAGTTAATATGTCTTTGAATGTACCATTGAATGAAGTGCAGGATCGCCTTGTGATGAAAGTTAATATGTCTTTGAATGTACCATTGAATGAAGTGCAGGATCGCCTTGTGATGAAAGTTAATATGTCTTTGAATGTACCATTGAATGAAGTGCAGGATCGCCTTGTGATGAAAGTTAATATGTCTTTGAATGTACCATTGAATGAAGTGCAGGGTCGCCTTGTGATGAAAGTTAATATGTCTTTGAATATACCATTGAATGAAGTGCAGGATCGCCTAGTGATGAAAGTTAATATGCCTTTGAATGTACCATTGAATGAAGTGCAGGATCGCCTTGTGATGAAAGTTAATATGTCTTTGAATATACCATTGAATGAAGTGCAGGATCGCCTTGTGATGAAAGTTAATATGTCTTTGAATATACCATTGATTGAAGTGCAGGTTCGCCTAGTGATGAAAGTTAATATGCCTTTGAATGTACCATTGAATGAGGTGCAGGATCGCCTTGTGATGAAAGTTAATATGTCTTTGAATGTACCATTGAATGAAGTGCAGGATCGCCTTGGGATGAAAGTTAATATGCCTTTGAATGTACCATTGAAGGAAGTGCAGGATCGCCTTGTGATGAAAGTTAATATGTCTTTGAATGTACCATTGATTGAAGTGCAGGATCGCCTTGTGATGAAAGTTAATATGCCTTTGAATGTACCATTGAATGAAGTGCAGGATCGCCTTGTGATGAAAGTTAATATGTCTTTGAATGTACCATTGAATGAAGTGCAGGATCGCCTTGTGATGAAAGTTAATATGTCTTTGAATGTACCATTGAATGAAGTGCAGGATCGCCTTGTGATGAAAGTTAATATGTCTCTTAATATACCATTGATTGAAGTGCAGGATCGCCTTGTGATGAAAGTTAATATGTCTTTGAATGTACCATTGAATGAAGTGCAGGATCGCCTTGTGATGAAAGTTAATATGTCTTTGAATGTACCATTGAATGAAGTGCAGTGTCGCCTTGTGATGAAAGTTAATATGTCTTTGAATGTACCATTGAATGAGGTGCAGGATCGCCTTGTGATGAAAGTTAATATGTCTTTGAATGTACCATTGAATGAGGTGCAGGGTCGCCTTGTGATGAAAGTTAATATGTCTTTGAATGTACCATTGAATGAAGTGCAGGATCGCCTTGTGATGAAAGTTAATATGTCTTTGAATGTACCATTGAATGAGGTGCAGGGTCGCCTTGTGATGAAAGTTAATATGTCTTTGAATGTACCATTGAATGAAGTGCAGGATCGCCTTGTGATGAAAGTTAATATGTCTTTGAATGTACCATTGAATGAGGTGCAGGATCGCCTTGTGATGAAAGTTAATATGTCTTTGAATGTACCATTGAATGAGGTGCAGGATCGCCTTGTGATGAAAGTTAATATGTCTTTGAATGTACCATTGAATGAGGTGCAGGATCGCCTTGTGATGAAAGTTAATATGTCTTTGAATGTACCATTGATTGAAGTGCAGGATCGCCTTGTGATGAAAGTTAATATGTCTTTGAATGTACCATTGAATGAGGTGCAGGATCGCCTTGTGATGAAAGTTAATATGTCTTTGAATGTACCATTGAATGAAGTGCAAGATCGCCTTGTGATGAAAGTTAATATGTCTTTGAATGTACCATTGAATGAAGTGCAGGATCGCCTTGTGATGAAAGTTAATATGTCTTTGAATGTACCATTGAATGAGGTGCAGGATCGCCCTTGTGATGAAAGTTAATATGTCTTTGAATGTACCATTGAATGAGGTGCAGGATCGCCTTGTGATGAAAGTTAGTGTGTCTTTGAATGTACCATTGAATGAAGTGCAGGATCGCCTTGTGATGAAAGTTAATATGTCTTTGAATGTACCATTGAATGAAGTGCAGGATCGCCTTGTGATGAAAGTTAATATGTCTTTGAATGTACCATTGAATGAAGTGCAGGATCGCCTTGTGATGAAAGTTAATATGTCTTTGAATGTACCATTGAATGAAGTGCAGGATCGCCTTGTGATGAAAGTTAATATGTCTTTGAATGTACCATTGAATGAAGTGCAGGGTCGCCTTGTGATGAAAGTTAATATGTCTTTGAATATACCATTGAATGAAGTGCAGGATCGCCTAGTGATGAAAGTTAATATGCCTTTGAATGTACCATTGAATGAAGTGCAGGATCGCCTTGTGATGAAAGTTAATATGTCTTTGAATATACCATTGAATGAAGTGCAGGATCGCCTTGTGATGAAAGTTAATATGTCTTTGAATATACCATTGATTGAAGTGCAGGATCGCCTAGTGATGAAAGTTAATATGTCTTTGAATGTACCATTGAATGAAGTGCAGGATCGCCTTGTGATGAAAGTTAATATGTCTTTGAATGTACCATTGAATGAAGTGCAGGATCGCCTTGGGATGAAAGTTAATATGCCTTTGAATGTACCATTGAATGAAGTGCAGGATCGCCTTGTGATGAAAGTTAATATGTCTTTGAATGTACCATTGATTGAAGTGCAGGATCGCCTTGTGATGAAAGTTAATATGCCTTTGAATGTACCATTGAATGAAGTGCAGGATCGCCTTGTGATGAAAGTTAATATGTCTTTGAATGTACCATTGAATGAGGTGCAGGATCGCCTTGTGATGAAAGTTAATATGTCTTTGAATGTACCATTGAATGAAGTGCAGGATCGCCTTGTGATGAAAGTTAATATGTCTCTTTAATATACCATTGATTGAAGTGCAGGATCGCCTTGTGATGAAAGTTAATATGTCTTTGAATGTACCATTGAATGAAGTGCAGGATCGCCTTGTGATGAAAGTTAATATGTCTTTGAATGTACCATTGAATGAAGTGCAGGATCGCCTTGTGATGAAAGTTAATATGTCTTTGAATGTACCATTGAATGAAGTGCAGGATCGCCTTGTGATGAAAGTTAATATGTCTTTGAATGTACCATTGAATGAAGTGCAGGATCGCCTTGTGATGAAAGTTAATATGTCTTTGAATGTACCATTGAATGAAGTGCAGGATCGCCTTGTGATGAAAGTTAATATGTCTTTGAATGTACCATTGAATGAAGTGCAGGATCGCCTTGTGATGAAAGTTAATATGTCTTTGAATGTACCATTGAATGAGGTGCAGGGTCGCCTTGTGATGAAAGTTAATATGTCTTTGAATGTACCATTGAATGAAGTGCAGGATCGCCTTGTGATGAAAGTTAATATGTCTTTGAATGTACCATTGAATGAAGTGCAGGATCGCCTTGTGATGAAAGTTAATATGTCTTTGAATGTACCATTGAATGAGGTGCAGGATCGCCTTGTGATGAAAGTTAATATGTCTTTGAATGTACCATTGAATGAAGTGCAGGATCGCCTTGTGATGAAAGTTAATATGTCTTTGAATGTACCATTGAATGAGGTGCAGGATCGCCTTGTGATGAAAGTTAATATGTCTTTGAATGTACCATTGAATGAGGTGCAGGATCGCCTTGTGATGAAAGTTAATATGTCTTTGAATGTACCATTGAATGAGGTGCAGGATCGCCTTGTGATGAAAGTTAATATGTCTTTGAATGTACCATTGATTGAAGTGCAGGATCGCCTTGTGATGAAAGTTAATATGTCTTTGAATGTACCATTGAATGAGGTGCAGGATCGCCTTGTGATGAAAGTTAATATGTCTTTGAATGTACCATTGAATGAAGTGCAGGATCGCCTTGTGATGAAAGTTAATATGTCTTTGAATGTACCATTGAATGAAGTGCAGGATCGCCTTGTGATGAAAGTTAATATGTCTTTGAATGTACCATTGAATGAAGTGCAGGATCGCCTTGTGATGAAAGTTAATATGTCTTTGAATGTACCATTGAATGAAGTGCAGGATCGCCTTGTGATGAAAGTTAATATGCCTTTGAATGTACCATTGATTGAAGGAAGGAAGGAACGTTAATGTACCTGTGAACGTACACTCTTCAAAACTTAGAAGATAACAAATGCAATATTGTTTTAAAGTGATCTTGGTTACATCATTACATGCAGTAAAAATTCGGCCCATGTGTTTCCTCTTTTGAAGAGCATGTCATTGAACGAAGTGCTGGATCTTGCTGTGATGAGGTGCAGAGTGCTGTCAATGTGCTATTGCATGATCAGGCTTAAAATATGACTTGATTGATTTTTCACATTAAAGAATTTTTTTGATTACCTAAATACACTTTGTCAAAGACGCTATGAAATGTTCCCCGTCGTTCTTGAAAGTCCCCTTCGTGCATAACTCCGTGTCTTGTGTTATCTCGATGTTTAAAACAGTAAATTATTCCTTAATTTGTGAGTAACAGAATGAATGAATGATTATTGCTTTACGCCACATCAGCAATATCACAGCTATTCGTGGTGTAACAGGAGTACAGCGAACTTAAGTCTGTCACACACAGAAAGTTAGAGGGACCCGTGAACACCCTGGTGGATTAGGTCTTCAGTAACCCATGCTTGTCGTAAGAGGCGACTAACGGGAACGGGTGGTCAGGCTCGCTGACATTGTTGACACATTTCATCGTATCTCAGATGTGTAGATCTATGCTCATGATGTTGATCACTTGATTGTCTGGTCCAGACTCGATTATTTACAGAACGCAGCCATATAGCTGGAATATTGCTGAGTGCGGCAATAAAATAGCAAGCAAACAAACAGAAAGTTCAGTGTGATATTTTCAGCCGAAAATATGATGGTATGCCCTCCTGATGGTTGATTTCCTCGACATCAGTGAGTATTAACAAAAACATCCTGTGTGCACGCAGATGTGATGTGTGCAGGCAGACAGCTGTGACGTCACGTTTGTAGACGTATATCACTCGGTAGTGTGTCAATCGGCACGACTCGTATCTTTTCGTAACCACCAGGTAGGTTTGTACCGGAAAGGCACTGATACGAAGGTATCAAAACATGCAATATATACATACATATAAACTTTTAGATGATTTTCATGCCATTTTGCAAAGTGAAAATATATTTTAAAAAGAACAGATTTTGTCCCGATAACCGTGTTGATTAAAGGACAACAGCCTGCCAGACCGATACTTCCCAAGAACAAGATTCTAGTCCACTCTGGGTTCAGTTATAAGGGGATCGGTATACAGTAACTGACTCGTAAACACGATCAAGGCTCTTTGAGATAACAACCTTTTGGATGCCAAAAACCTCTGATAAAGTTTTTGTCAGATATCTAAGTCCGATTTGTAATCATAGCAGATAATAGCCACAGTTTACGTGACCAGGCGCGCAGCAAGCCATTTTTTATGTAAGGTTGGTTGTAAATCTTTATATTTAGATTGTATTGAGGGCTTGCCCAACCTTTTTAGCAACAATTATGTGTAAGCCCGGGCTTTGTTATATATGGTAGCTACGCCCCTGGTGACTGTTACATTCGGTTCAGGTGCCCGTTATCCCTGACGTTCTGAACAGGGTCCCTTTCCACAACGCTATCGTAGCGCTACGACTGTCGTAAGTCTATGTTACAGTATAGGAGGTACGGCAGTCGTAGCTTTACTATAGCTTTGTGAAACGGCGCCCAGGTCCCCAGCAACACACACTTGTCTGAAGAGGCGACTATGAATCCATCAGATGATGAGAGTCCGTCACCATTTCATGACATCGCATCCCATTTGCGTGGATAGAATAATGGATGCTCATACTTGAATATGCTGAATGTAGAGATAAGTAATTTCATGCTTACATTTGTCAATAATGCTTAATGACTGAACTTTGATGACGTCTGTGATAAGGCATATAATGGCCATCAGCGGACGTCATATCACAAAGTGATTGTAGCTTTAAGACGATTGGAACTTCAATCCCGTTACGGCAGACGTAGCTCGCTTATCGCTTTGGGCAGCAGCTGGCTTTTTTTAAAGTTCTGCGAAGGTCATGTTGACGGAAATAGCCGAGGTAATCTGAATGATATGATGTCACATGTCACATTTCGTTATCAACGGATAATAACGGATACGCCCACAGGCAACCGGAGTTGGTGGTCGGCGGAGCTTGGTGAATTATTCTCACTTTCTGAGGTAAGGTAAGAGATTTATATCGTTTGGAAATTTATATAATTATATCTTCCATTTATTTCGTTCACCTATCTTATGCTGTATTGTACTGTATGCATGTATTGAGTGAGTGAGTGAGTGAGTGAGTGAGGCTTCCCCGATGTCTTCACATGTACCGATTGAACAATGTGCTGACATTAATAGTTCTACCACTACAACCAACACCGCCACACCATCATCGCCACCAATACTACTACTACTACTACTACTACTACTAATAATAATAATAATTGATAAAGCCAAGGTATGTATTCATATCATTGAATTTTCTGTCCCTTTTTGACAGCAACGTGATTGTCAGGCTTAAGGAAAAGCATGCTAAATGTGGGATCTCGCCTTTGAAATGTCTCGTTTGCATCACAATTACACTGCCGTCAGGTTCCCCATTGTTCTCGGTGCCCTTGGTTTGGTACCTCCTGATCTCTTGGCGCATGTCAGGAGAGTGTCCGGGTTCGCCATTGGGAGCACAGCCCTTCTGACACTCTGGGTAATGCAGAAGGCTACAGTGTTGGGGAGTCTACATATTCTCCGGAAAGTTCTTGGGGGGGTTCGACTAGGCAGTGTTCCCTGGGAGAAGTCCCATTCGCTGTATGGGTTGCGTGTAGAGGGGGCAAGGGCCCTGAGCTGATGATGAGCCTTACGAACCCTCTCTGCTGCATACTATTTTTAATCTGTAGACATAATAATACTAATACTAATACTGAAATTATGCACCAACATCGAGTCTGTGATTGTAAATATGGGGCCTATGAACCTAGAGACTATCTTCATTTTCAGACGAGCCAGATATTATAGACTTACATGGGCTGTATTTGATACATTTATTTCCGGGTCTGTAAACAGACTATTATGACTGCTACTATTAGTTCTAAACACATCTACGTATCTATTTTCAGCGGAATGGCGGCTAGCGCAGATGCACATGACAATCTTGCACGAGGATCCGACAATGAAACTTCCATTACATTCCTGAAGCAACCCGTGTCAACAGCATCCAGTGAACCTGTCGAGATGCACTGCCCATCATGTCGGAAGATTTTCGACCTACGGAACCAAACACCACGGTTGTTGGGCTGCCTACACTCGGTGTGTTCCGATTGCTTAAAGATAACGCTATTCTCCCATGAATCACCCGGTATTGCGTGTCCCGTCTGCCGGAGTCCTATCTCACATGAAGCTGCGCCTCTGGACTACGCCATCATGAAGGTGTTGGAGATTGAGGAGACGAAGGACCTTGGTGGGCTGAAGTGCGATGACTGCCCCCATGACGGTACAGCGACGTATCGCTGTCTGGACTGCAGATGCAACATGTGTGACACATGCATGTCCTACCATGCCAAATTTGCTGCAACCATAACCCACGAGTTGAGGTGTTTGTCAGAGCTTTCTGACACGAAACACGAGGTACTGAAGGAGGACAAGCTTTGTCCGCAACATGGACTTAGGCAACATCTGTTCTGCTGTTCCAAGACGTGTAAGGTTGCCCTGTGTAGCACCTGCGCCACAACAGACCACAACGGCCACAACTTGGGTCCAATATGGTGTCTGTATGGTGCAGTTCGAAAGGACATCATGAAACGCAATGTCCTGCTCGCTGAAAACATCAGCAGAATGGAGGACCTGGAGGCCCGACTTAACTCGCACAAGGAAAGGGTTAAAGAGTCGAAGCGGAATATTGAGAGTGATATTCACGTTCTCTTCTCCCACCTTGAAGACAAGGTCCTTGCAAGAAAAGCGGTGCTGGTGAACGCCACCAACACAATCAAGAACGACTATCTGAGAGAAGTGAAGGGCGTTCAGGAGCAGCTGCGGGCAACCGAGAGAAGGCGACAAGAGGTCATAGATTTCAGTGAACGAGTGAAGAACCTATGCTCACCTGCGGAATTCCTCAACATAGATAAGATACTTACCGCACGAATGATCCAAGTGGCGAGTGAACCAACCACAGTTCCATTTCAGGAGAAGAATGTTGTTTTCGGAAGAACATTGCTGACTGATGTCATGACCTCAATTGGTAATCTGTGTGAGATAACTACAACAGTACAGAAGTAGCCACAGACCTTCACCTTACGCGTTCCTGACTGACGAGTCGTCATTACATGATTACTGAAGATTACGTTATCAAATCTGACTGGTGCACCTTCTGCAGCTATATGGCTACCTGGGTACTATATGTGGATGTAACTCCATGCTATATCAGGAGGTGATGACTGGTGCACCTTCTGCAGCTATATGGCTACCTGGGCACTATATGTGGATGTAACTCCATGCTATATCAGCAGGTGATGACTGGTGCACCTTCTGCAGCTATATGGCTACCTGGGCACTGGGCACTATATGTGGATGTAACTCCATGCTATATCAGGAGGTGATGACTGGTGCACCTTCTGCAGCTATATGGCTACCTGGGCACTATATGTGGATGTAACTCCATGCTATATCAGGAGGTGATGACTGGTGCACCTTCTGCAGCTATATGGCTACCTGGGCACTATATGTGGATGTAACTCCATGCTGTATCAGGAGGTGATGACTGGTGCACCTTCTGCAGCTATATGGCTACCTGGGCACTATATGTGGATGTAACTCCATGCTATATCAGGAGGTGATGACTGGTGCACCTTCTGCAGCTATATGGCTACCTGGGCACTATATGTGGATGTAACTCCATGCTGTATCAGGAGGTGATGACTGGTGCACCTTCTGCAGCTATATGGCTACCTGGGCAATATATGTGGATGTAACTCCATGCTATATCAGGAGGTGATGACTGGTGCACCTTCTGCAGCTATATGGCTACCTGGGCACTATATGTGGATGTAACTCCATGCTATATCAGGAGGTGATGACTGGTGCACCTACTGCAGCTATATGGCTACCTGGGCACTATATGTGGATGTAACTCCATGCTATATCAGCAGGTGATGACTGGTGCACCTACTGCAGCTATATGGCTACCTGGGCACTATATGTGGATGTAACTCCATGCTATATCAGCAGGTGATGACTGGTGCACCTTCTGCAGCCATATGGCTACCTGGATGTAACTCCATGCTATATCAGCAGGTGATGACTGGTGCACCTTCTGCAGCTATATGGCTACCTGGGCACTATATGTGGATGTAACTCCATGCTATATCAGGAGGTGATGACTGATGCACCTTCTGCAGCTATATGGCTACCTGGGCACTATATGTGGATGTAACTCCATGCTATATCAGGAGGTGATGACTGGTGCACCTTCTGCAGCTATATGGCTACCTGGGCACTATATGTGGATGTAACTCCATGCTATATCAGGAGGTGATGACTGGTGCACCTACTGCAGCTATATGGCTACCTGGGCACTATATGTGGATGTAACTCCATGCTATATCAGGAGGTGGGGACTAATATAACAGGAGTCGTGATATCACTATACAAGGCACTGTCTGACGATGTCCTACAGTCTGACCAGTATTTACCCATTTAGACTAGGTCAGATAATAGACTGTACCGTTCCAACAGACTTCCTGTTCATAGAATAAAGATGGTTCACCGAAGTAGGTTGTACTATGTTCAGTAATTCACCTCTTCCAATAATTCACGACAAATCACACTTGGCACGAATGTTGCTTTTTATGTCAACCAATAACAATTTGCCGTATTTTGTCACTCCCAAAATGATTTTAAATGACGGAACCAACCCTTACCACTTGGATGGAAACTGGTAATTCAAGAAACCAAAACAGGACAATTCTTAGAGCCACAAATACAGGATAATGCGACCCTGGTCCAACAAAGGGGTCAGGATCTCATCTCCCCATACTGACCACCTCATCTTGAGTCGGATCCATGACTGACTGACTGAGTTTGGTTTTACCCCGCTTTTAGCAATATTCCAGCAACATCACGGCTGGGGACACCAGAAATGGGCTTCACACATTGTACCCATGTGGGGATTCAAACCCGGGTCTTCGGCATGACGAGCCAACGCTTTAACCACTAGGCTACCCCACCGCCCAGCGAGTGGATGACTTCAGGTTGATAGCACTGAACAGTATTGGGATAATTGAGGTAAAAACAGAACTGAAAGGCATGGCCATTGTGCTAGGGTTTACAAGACACTTGGATTCAAACCCATGTCCAGTAAATCCCGGTGAAGCATGCAAGCTTGCACGGAAGAGTAAGTTGTAGCAGTCTCACTCGGGGTATATGTGGTTTTGTATACAACTAAACGGGTAAAACCAGCCATAATCTAGATAGAATTGTGTCATACAACGAACTTATCTTGTGTCAAAAGGTTAATGTACAAGAATTAAAACAAATTGAACATTGTTTGAAAACAGTTGTTCGAGTGAGCCGAGACAGATTTGTGCCCTTTCTTTCATTGACTCAACAACATGCTGACTTTTGGTTCGTAGCTTGGTGCAAGAGATTTATTCTCCCACTTAGACAACCATGTGCAGTGGGTTTTCTTTTTGTGTCAAGTTACTTATTATCCCGCTCAGAGATGTATTTCTCCCCCTCGCAAGACCGACTGACTGACTGACTAACTTTGGTTTTACGCGCTTTTACGATATTCCAGCAACATCACGACGGGGGACACCAGAAATGGGCTTCACACCCCCTCGCAAGATACAGTGTTGTCACATGAGCCAATGAGATCTCACATTCTGAAGTGGCGCGCACAAGGGCTATTACTGAAAGCATTGGTGAGTCAGCCGAGTAGGGTTGAGTTGACATGGGGATTAATGTCATGATAAGTGCATGTACAATGAGTTGCATGTGTCCATGGCTGCTTGTAGTGTATGAGTTTCGTTTAACGCCACTTTTACTAATATCCCAGCAATATCCCGGCGGGGACACCAGAAATGGGCTTCACACAGTGTACTCATGTGCGGAATCGAACCCGGGTCTTCGGCGTGATGGGCGAACGCTTTAACCACTAGGCTTACCGCCCCCCTGACTGCTTGTACTGGATAGGGTTTGTACCGTGTTTCATAGTGCAAGCCCACTGAAATGCCAAGACGAACGTTAATATGTATACCCTCAACAGACAAGGTATACTTACCATACTCTATCTCATAGAGTTCTCGCCCTTGCAGATGCACGGAAACCTCCTAGTTGTTTTGACTCCGACACAAGTATGACATCCGATGGGTTTGCAAAGTTTCATCATGTGTTACATTGCTACAATACTTTATAAATTACCATTAAATCTTACAGGACATCATTTCAGAAATACCTGGTTAATAAGAGGCAAATATCTGGTACTTGCCGGCCATGGATATAAAGCTTCTCCAAAAAAATAAAAATTACAATTACAATCCAAACATGGGGGTATTCATGCTTCACTGCGGCATGGTATCTCAGTGAGCTAGCATTATAAAACCAGCTTAAGACTGGGCTAGTACAAACAGCCACACATACACACGCATGCATGTTGAGCAAAATTAAAGTTCGACATTAAAGTTAAGCCCCATTTCACCTCACCACCTCAGTGCAAGACAGTGTTGTACGACCATACATATATGTAATGTAAAGCTCTATCATGTGTTCAGTGAGTACTTGAGTCTAGAACAGATAAACCTGTGGTTGATAACATGAGCAATACTCTCGATCCATCTGGGTATGATGCAACAAGGTGACAGATTGTGGGCACCTGCTCCCTTGACAGCTCTTCCCCCAACCCCACCCCTAATAGTTAAAGTAAACAACAGAAGAAAACATTAGCTGCATACATTTTATTAACAACAATAAACAACTGTCATATTGGCAACAACACAGAATGTCAATTCTCAAACTTACATTTCCCAGCTTCTTAACAGCAACCATCTGTTTCACACATCATTCAAAATACCTTTCAGAGATCTGTCATAAAATAGAATTTTCGAAAAGAAAATAGGTCTTAAGGCCAGACCAATATTATTTCTTGTTTTACAGATCCGCCTGTCATATTTTTTCAAGAATAAGAAAAAAAGAAGAAGTTAATTTTCCCCACTCAAAAAATATAATCCTAATGTTTTATTGGGCAAACATGTAAATTTACAAGAAAATTTATTGTTAGACTGTGTTTATCATAAATTGCCATAAGTAAAATACTTTTAGTCTTCATTTATTTTTAAAAAAATTTCCCTCCTGCCTTTAGGTTGTCGGAGGACAAAAATCCGTAAAACGAGAAATAAAATTGGTCTGGCCTAAGTGTCTCTTTTCCACTTTATCTTGTATGAAAATAGTCACTTCCATAAGAAGGTGTGAATCGGACACATTGCATTCATTGTGTTTCGAAACTGATCAATCAACAACATCCACTCAACAATAGTTTGGATGCAATTGTGTAATACTGATTATTGTATTGTCTTGTTCAGGCACCCAGTGAATATGACAACTTCATGAACAGACACTATAGGCTTCCTTACTTTGTCTTGCATTAACATACTTGTCTCTGACTGGTGATCGGTTGTACAAAATTTTCCCATGAACTCTGCTGACAGATAATGTACAAATTTCACATCACCGGTTGGGAAAGGGTCAACTTCTTAAAGATTCATATGAATACAATGACATAAATATTTTATCTCAAAATAGGAAGACTTAACAAAAGCAATTTATGATATTTTTTACAAAAAATGTTTATAAAAGCCAATTTCAAGAAAACTTCATTGCCAAAGTCTTTCTGGGTATATGCTGCGATGTGCGAGTGTGAGAGACTGTGTACCTGTCGTCTTGTTCAAGGTTACTGGACTCACACACACCTAACAACTGACCATATACCACTCCTGACTGATTGATCACCAGTAGCATCACACTTCTGTGATTTTATTGAACTCTCAAAACTTAACCAACACAATAACCAACTACAACACAACTTGAAAACCTTAATTGCTGAGAGGCTCATCTACATCCCCAACTTTGTCTGACAGAATCACAGGGAGACCAGTCCCAGGACAGGATCAAGATAAGGCTTGTGACAGATTGAGATTCAGGTGCTGCCTCTTCGTGGGCTACTCATTCACTAATGATTCTACAGTTAGCAGACAAAATGCTTTCCAGTTGAATGAAGCTTCAAGGACTACCCATCAACCTTTTGCCCATCCACAATTTTCAGGTACCTGACAGTTCTTTGGTGCACTGTGCCTCAGGCACTTCATGGTGATGAATACGTTAACATGCTGACAGCATCATCCTAGCTACAGGAAGCACTGAATGTAGTTGGCCCCAGGCTACAGATACTGGGGCCGCTGACAGACTGTAGTAGGTTTCACGCTACAGATACTGGGGCCACTGACAGACTGTAGTTGGCCTCACGCTACAGATACTGGGGCCACTGACAGACTGTAGTCGGCCTCACGCTACAGATACTGGGGCCACTGACAGACTGTAGTCGGCCTCACGCTACACATACTGGGGCCGCTGACAGACTGTAGTAGGTTTCACGCTACAGATACTAGGGCCGCTGACAGACTGTAGTAGGTTTCACGCTACAGATACTGGGGCCACTGACAGACTGTAGTCGGCCTCACGCTACAGATACTGGGGCCGCTGACAGACTGTAGTCGGCCTCACGCTACACATACTGGGGCCACTGACAGACTGTAGTAGGTTTCACGCTACACATACTGGGGCCGCTGACAGACTGTAGTCGGCCTCACGCTACACATACTGGGGCCGCTGACAGACTGTAGTAGGTTTCACGCTACAGATACTAGGGCCACTGACAGACTGTAGTAGGTTTCACGCTACAGATACTGGGGCCACTGACAGACTGTAGTAGGCCTCACGCTACAGATACTGGGGCCGCTGACAGACTGTAGTAGGCCTCACGCTACAGATACTGGGGCCGCTGACAGACTGTAGTAGGTTTCACGCTACACATACTGGGGCTGCTGACAGATTGTAGTAGGCCTCACGCTACAGATACTGGGGCGCTGACAGACTGTAGTCGGCCTCACAGATACTGGGGCCACTGACAGACTGTAGTAGGCGGCATGCTACAGATACTGGGCCCGCTGACAGACTGTAGTAGGCGGCACGCTACAGATACTGGGGCCACTGACAGACTAGTTGGCCTCATGCTACAGATACTGGGCTGACAGACGCGCTACAGATACTGGGGCAGCTGACAGACTAGTTGGCCTCATGCTACAGATACTGGGGCGCTGACAGACTGTAGTAGGCCTCACGCTACAGATACTGGGGCCACTGACAGACTGTAGTAGGCTGCACTACAGATACTGGGGGGCTGACAGACAGCTGGGGCCGCTGACAGACTGTAGTAGGTCTTCTGCTGTAGCAGCAACAGTCGGCATTGACAGATTGTAGTAGGTCTCATGTGATCACTACTGACAAATTATCGTAGGCATCAGCTACAGTAGGCACTGACAGATTGTCGTTGATCGCATGCTACAGCTGGATGAGGCACTGACAGACTGTTGTCGGCCTCAGCTACTGTAGGCACTGACAGACTGTTGTAGCCCCCAGCTACTGTAGGCACTGACAGACTGTTGTAGGCCTCAGCTACAGTAGGCCCTGACAGATTGTTGTAGCCACCAGCTACTGTAGGC